AGAGATGCACTGCTGAAGATTAGTTACATTACATATCTTTTGTGGCTATGTTTTAACTGTTCTGCATTTTGATTCAAATACTGTTTTTGTCATCTCTTGGTCATCTTTGTTGGTTTATTTCTTCTAATGTCATGATACAACACACAGTACGCACTAGTTGGTTGCATTTTAGTTATTTACAGTATTGTTAAAAAATGCACATGTAGCATTGAGTTTTTAAAAGTTATCAGCTTTATATCTTACAGCTTAAAAAGCCTCTTAAAAGCTTACAGCTTAAAAGTCTTGTCTCAGTCCTGCATTTGACTCTTGCCTTTTTATTCAGAACAAAGATGCTTCATTTCAGTGGTGGTCAAATGACACCAGCATCTGAGACCTTAGACTGTACTGCTAAGGTTATGAATGAAGAACTGTCACCACTGCATCTCTGGTCAGCTGAGAATAAGACAGACTGCTTTGCTGAGAAACAAAGCCCTCAACATTTGAACATGCTCACCTTCCAGTTCTTCAGGTGATGCTGGGTAGTTGATGCCTCCTGTCTCCACCAGGTTTTTCCATCTGAAAGAAGAAATGAACAGTGATAAGGGAAAGCATTATTCACTGAGGAGTAGAATTAACTGTTCTTTTTAAATATCTTAAGGGGGGGGAGTTCTGCCCTTCTGTCACTTTAACAACAAGGTACAGTTGCTTTGGTTATTTATCAAAAACGTTTCACCGATGATGCATACTCTGTTCACCATAGTGTCATGAGCATTGACAGACAACTGTTCACTTACAGGATAACACACTTCACTTTGTTTAAATGCTGTCTGGTGTTTGTAGAGATGTATCTAAGTTTAGAGGGAATGAACGTGACCTATCTATTTAATCAAAGGAAGTGAGTGTTATTATGAAAACAGTGGCTGTGAAAACTCTCACAGTCCTTTTCTACATTTAAAGCAACCTCACCTGACTCTCTGCTCCCCATCACTCAGGACATTCAGAGGATGTCACTGTCCCAACCCTCCTGTCACTGTCCCAAACCCCCCAATGATAATGATGCCTACTCAACGACCCACCTCCTCACCTTCAAGGATGTCTCTGACAGGCACCTGGCCTCCTACTGTCCATCTCACTTACCAGTCAAGAAGCTATTTAAAGATGCACCCATAAAGCTCAGTCAGCTCAGTGAACTATTAGACAGTAAAAACAACACACATCATCACTCAGGGGTCCACCAGAGATGAGGCAGACCCCATGCCATGTCCTCAAAGATACATCCAGTGGCATGGTCAGTCTCATCATAGCAACCACAGACCCTCAGGTACCTGTCTCATGAATGTTAAATATGTAAATGTTCAATCACCACCGGCCTCCTATACATGTGACTTAGGCCTTTCCGGTTCCCTTTAGAGTTGGTTGTTTATAATGTCCGCTCTCTGACTAATAAAGCATTTTTAATGAATGATTTAATTAATTTATCACCTCCTACCAGCTAGATCTCATGCTTCTTACAGAGACTTGGCTTTAAGAACAGCTTTAGTGCAAGAGTTTTCATCAAAACAGCCCACCACAGATTTATAGTATTTCTAGACTTGGTGGTATTGCTGCTATCTTTACGAATAGTGTGAGCAGATTTCATTTGGTAAATTTAACTATTTTGAATATGTCTGTAAGAAGGTTCCAGTTTCATTGCTGTTGCATTTGAAAATGTACTATATAAATAAACCTGCCTAGCCTTAAAGTTACACAAAGTTAAAAAAGAAAGAAAGAAAACAATTGACCCTGTTTCAGGCAAAATGGTAAATTCACAATTGGAGTCAGGGCTTCAGTACTCAAGTCTGGTTTTGATCTCAGGTTTGGTATTAGGAACTTTCTTATAGTTTGCCACACTGGGGGTTATATTCTCCTGCAACAAGGCTGGCTTTAGTTATGTCCAGTCAAACCAGCTCCTCTCATCCCTTCTCATCGCGGATGTTTGAAATCCTTGGTGCAGTTTTTTTGCAAGCGGTGAGGATGTGTCTCCACTACCATGTGAGGTTTCATTTTCTTTGCAATAAGTTCCACTAGCATGTATCTTTCCTCCATCACCTTGTCAGACAGTTTCACACAATCCCACAAACAGTCCTGCTGCCTCTGGTGCAGATCTCCTGCTCTTAGGCCACGTTTCTCTCAATGTAGAAGGGATGTTTGGTTGCCAAGTGTCACATATCACAGCCTAATTTACATGGTCTGACTGTTTTGTTCCAATATAACTTAAGTGCTTCCACACTTTTTTGCAAAGCGGATCATCAACAATGACAGACTGCCTATGCTCAATTACTCTGGCTTATATGACATCATCTAGACATCACATGACCATACCAAACAGTATTACTGATTATCATCCTGCTTCTCTTCTGGCTTTATATGGTAATACTAGCAATAACTTGTAACATTTAGTTAATTTTGGCTCTTGCACGGTGTTAATATTGAGAAATCCACACCGGAAGTGATAACTTTTATGTTTTTTGTCTTGTGTAAACAGAGCTCAACATGAGCAGCAAAGACAATAACAGAAATTTAGCTCATTCAAAATCCACATTTAAAAACTTGTGTTGCAAGGTGATCTCGACCTCTACACAAAGACCTTGCATTTCCCCACTTTTGTGTAACATGGAATGTGAGAAAATCCATCTTTAGGCACTGACACTAGACCAGTTTAAGGAGTGAATACTGTGGCAGTACTGGGCGGAGATCGCCACGATCACCCAGCTGGATGAGCTCTTGTATTAAAGGAAAGATCAGACCTGTTTTAAATGCAGGATCCATTGGAAAAAGATTCACTTGATCAAAAGTTTCTTAAACAGTAATGAACATAAAACAGGTCTAATAAAACTGAGCAAAGCATGCAACATCTCTGAAGGAACCTGGGATGCAATCTAAACTATTTAATACAGCCTAGTTTACAGTATAGTGCATGTAATAGCATGATAAAATAACACAGATGCTTTCAAGTTCAAAATAACACAGATGCTTTCAAGTTCACTCTCTCATAAAATAAAAAAATTACAACCACGAGATCTCAGAGTTAAAAAAGAAATGCCAGGACACAGAGAGTCTGTCTGTAAATCACTTAAAGGTCCACCAGGATATAAAAGGCAAAACAAGACAGCAAAAGTAAAGTTTATGTTGTGCTTTTAGTGTTTCTTTTCTGACAACTTTGTGATTTTTTTAGTTCAACCCCTATATACTTCCTTTGGTAAAGCAGACATAGATGGAGAGTAGGGTACCAAAGGAGAACTGGATCAGGTTGCACGACACTGTATGTGTAAATGGTAGCCTGCAATTATAGAGTAATATCAAGTCTGCTTGCAACTACTTAGACCAGATACACATAAAAGAGGAAAGCTGTACCTTAAATTTAAAAAGACAATTTTCCCTATAATACAGATCATCATTGTAATGACAGCAATTATTAAAAAGTGACATCTTCACATTGAAATGTCCATCACAATACTGTGAAAGTGTTGGGTGAACTGTTTTTTTTTAAATCAAGTTCCACTTATGAGATTTCTTTTGGGGCATTCAGATGTACCTCGTGGCCTTCACATGAAGAAAACACTGGCTGTTTTTATATCAAAGTCCTGTCATAGCATCAGACTGGCTGGCCAGAGTCAGAGCTAACAAACATAAAAAGCTCCTGTTGGATTTTTCTGTTCTCTAATAGTGATGAGAATAATGGTTCTTGGAAAGGAGCCAGATCTTATTGCTCCATTCCTTTGAGAGATGTTCAAAAGCAAGCGAGTGATGATTTATTTACTGTGTATAGCACCTTTCAACACTTCTTCTTCTTCTTTCGGCTGTTCCTGTTAGGGGTCGCCACAGCGAATCATCTGTTTCCACCTAACTCTATCCTGGGCATCCTCTACTCTCACCCCAATTAACTTCATGTCCTCTTTTAGCACATCCACATACCTCCTCTTTGGCCTTCCTCTTGACCTCTTGCCTGGCAGCTCCATCTCCAACATCCTTCTACCAATATAACCACTATCCCTCCTCTGCACATGTCCAAACCATCTCAATCTGGCCTCTCTGACCTTGTCCCCAAAACAGCCGACCTGAGCTGTCCCTCTGATGTGCTCATTCCTAATCCTGTCCATCCTGGTCCCTCCTAAAGAGAACCTCAACATCCTCATCTCTGCTACCTCCATCTCTGCCCTTTGTCTTTTCCTCACTGCTACAGTCTCTAACCCATACAGCATAGCTGGTCTCACTACTGTCTTGTACACCTTTCCTTTGATTCTTGCTGCCACTCTTCTCTAACACAACACTCCTGACACCTTTCTCCACCCATTCCAATCTGCACTCACCTCTTCACCTCTTTCCCACATTCCCCATCACACTGGACTGTTGACCCCAAATACTTAAACTCCTGCACCTTCTTGACCTCAGCCCCCTGTAACCTCACTGTTCCACTTCCCTTCCTCTTGTTCATACACATGTATTCTCTCTTACCAAAACTGACTTGCGTTCCTCTTTTTTCCAGAGCAGACCTCCACCTTTCCAGGTGTTCCTCCACCTGCTCTCTGCTCTCATTACAAAGTGCTTCATAAAAATAAGATGGCAAAACTAATGTTAGGACAGAAACGAAGCATCAAACATGACCAAACATATTGTATACAACCCCTCTACATCCACACAGATATCAATACACCAAAACAAAAACTAAATAAATGATTAAAAAAAAACATCAGTTAAAGTGAATAGTGAATAAAAACATCAGTTAAGGAAAGTGAGAGAATAAAATGAGTAATAGCAGCTGCAACTGATCTAATAGTGAGAGGCAAAGAATTCCACAGTGCCATGGCCTGGACAGTGAAGGCCCAGTCTTTCTTTGTCTTACTCTAAGCTGGGCCCTGGGAACAACCACAAAACACTGGTTTACATGGACACAGCAGGTCAGAGTAGCACTCTGCTGCTTCGCTGTGTAGACCCTGATACGTGATAACCTAGATTTTATATTTAATTCTGAATCCTGCTGGTAGCCAGTGAAGAGAGGTCAACACTGGGGTAATGTGCTGTGTTTCAGTGAGAATACGGGCTGCAGCAACCACCTGCATACAAGCCACAACTCCTTGACTAAGGCAGGAGTACAATGAATAACAATAAACCAGCCATGAGAACACAACAATGTGGATGGACTTTTCAGCACTAAAAATAGAATATGTCTGATCTTAAAAATATTCAACTTCAAAAAAAAAAAAAGGCTCTGCAAGCCTCTTAACATAAATGTCTCATCGAGCCACATGATTGGCTGGAATATTGTGCTCGGAGAACATCCTTACATTCAGTAGCAGTCACTTTTTATTTGTAATTTCATTGCAGCAAGATTTGAAAATGGAGTCTTTCACTTGTTTTTCTGATGAGGGGTTAAAATAATGCCCAGGACCAAGGGCTCCACACTGCGAGCTGGTTACACCATAGACACAATGAGTTAGGTGTCACTTCCCAGTGACTGGCGCCAACCTACTTAATCAAGAAGCCTAGCAGTGGACTCAAACTCCACTAGCTGAAATACCAGTAATATGTTTTGCAGCTCTGCTAAGCGCTCCAAATGGTAACATATAGAAAAAAAAAACAGCACTTCATTCATTCATTCATTCATTCAAAAAGACATGCATCCGAGTATTATTAAACATTCAGACATGAACCCTACAAAAGAGTTACATAGAAACATTTTAGGAGACATGACTGAGGAAGTAGCCCATAAAAAAGTAATTTTGGAAGGGTGGTTTAAATAAATAGCATAGTGGTACATACTTGATAAACCTCAATTCTGTCCTATAGTGTGGGTTTTTGCATTTTAATGATCCCAAATCTGCAATATTGTTGCTGATAAAATCTACAGACAATTTTATGTCCACCAAATTGTCTGTCAAATTCAACACAGATACAAGGCTATGACAGCAGCTGTGTGAGTGTTTACAAAGAGGTTGTCTAGTTCTTTATAGCATACTGTACATAATGTTCACTACTGTATGCTGGTAACTTATGGCTCTGTGTTAACTATGTTTAATGCAGTAGATCTCTGACCAGAGATGTGAAACCCAGTGTACAACACTGTATGGTTTGACAATTCAGAACCCTATACGGTCAAGGACCTTATAGCAGGCTTTGTGACATCTGGTGACCAAAAGAAGAACTGCAGGATGGATCTTATGAGCCTCATACGGGGTTAAAAACACTGCATTATTGACATAGCACAACCGATAGGGCACCGCAAATACAACACGGTGAAAAAGTATGACATTTTGAATGCCTACATCTGTACCTGCAATAATGTAAAAATAAGTTCTTCGGTGCAGAGAATGATCACAATCCACGCACAAACCAATATGTTAAACCAAGTTCTGGTTTCACAGGCAATACAGTAAGTATTGGGCAGAACGTTGCTCTAATTTCCTAAATAGAAGATGTGCACCTCCATAATGTACCAAAAACATATGCACATACAGTAAATGCATACAGAAAAATACATATTAAAATGTCTAATGTATTTCCCTTTATTTGCTTGTTTGAATTGTTTTCATTTAGATATTAAAGCCTATCAAAAACCTTCATTCTGCTGTTGAAACACACCTTCAAGGTAAGGAAGAACTACATCTAGCCAGCCATAGGCAAATGTAACTATATCCTACAGTAATCAAAATGGTAAATCTATATTTGACTTAAGGTTATTAGCCCCAAGTACCTAGGACTTTACTATTATGTCCATATGTGTTTTATTAAGCTTCTTGAAAAGGATAAAGGCTAAAAGATTCAGAAATGCTCACCTTTGCCACTGGAGACCTTTGCTACTGTTGAGCCCCATCTGTGTGCCTCACCCTACAAGCAGACAGATGTGTAAATTATCAGTGTCTGATAAATGTAATCTACTGTATTAACAGGCCCTTATGGACGCCACAGCAGCTCTGACTCAGATACGAGGATGGAAGTGTTTCTATGCCCACCAAACTTTGATGATCATTAGCACGTTTGACAATAATGCAGGTCATAACTCTTCCTAATCCCACATTTCAATCACTGCCCTATTTTTGAAGGGGTTGTAGAAATACTTCCAGAAAAGTTTGGGCATTTTCCAAAATGCAATAAGAACTAAAATCTGTGATTTGCTCATTCACTTGAACCTTTATTTAACTGGCAAAGTACAAAGAAAAAGTTTTCAGTGTTTTCACTGGGCAACTTCATTGTATTTTGTAAAAAGAAACAAGTTTAGAATTTGATGCAACTCAAACAAAGTTGGGACAGAGGCCTGTTTACCACTGAGTTACCATCCTGGTAACTACAGTATTTAACCATTTGGGAGCTGAGGATACTAATTGTTGCAGTTTTGCTGGTGGAATATTGGTCCATTACTGCTGGATACAAGACTTCAGCTGCTCAGCAGTCTGTCGTCACCAATATCTGATCGTCCTCTTCATGACGTGCCAGACATTTTCAGTAGGAGGCAGATGTGGACTGCAGGCAGTCCAGTCAAGCACTTTTTTTTTTTGAATTACATTGTGGAAAATGTCATAACTATTCTAGAAACAGGGTTGACCCCCACACCACAGATGCTGGTTTTTGCTCCTTTCATTAATAACAATCTTGATGGTCTTTTTCATCTTCGGAACCCGACATTTCCTGGTAAAAAACTGAAACATGAACTTGTCTGACCACAGAATGTCTCCACTGTCTGTGGGTCCATCTGAGTTGAACTTGGGCCCAGAGAGCTCAGCTGCGTTTCTGCACAGAGCTGATCTATGGCTTCCCCCTTGTGTAATACAGTTTCAGGTTGCATTGTTGAGTGACAACGGTTTTTCTCTTGAGCCCATGTGGCCATATTCATCACAGTAGCATGATGGATTCTCATGCAGCGCCTCCTGAGGGCTTGAAGGACATGCACTTACAACAGTGGTTTTTGCCTACTGGCCATTACGCAAAAAGATTTTCTGGATTCCCTGAATCTTTTCACAGTATTATTGACTTTAGATGGTGAAAGACCTAAATTGTTTGCAGTCTTGCATTGAAATTTTTTTTTAAACTGATTCTCTCAGGAGGTTTGGCACAAAGTGATGATTCATAACCCATCCTTGAATGCAAAGACTGGGTCTTTGGTGGATGCTCCAGTCATGATACCTTCATCTGTTACCAATCCATCCATTATCTACACCGCTTATTCCTGAACAGGGCCGTGGGGGGTCTGGAGCCAATCCCAGCCAACACTGGGTGAGAGGCGGGGTCAACCCTGGACAGGTCGTCAGTTTATTACAGTTAGTTAGTTATCACACTTAGAGACAAACAACCACACACACATGCTGTGTTTTCATTCCTTGTGGGGACTTTACGTTGACTTACATTCATTTCCTGTAGACTTATCCTAATCTTAACCATAACTACATAACCTCAGTGATATATCATGTTATCTGAGTGATATATCATGTTGGGGTTTCCTCTGCTGAACTAGAACTTTCTTGACAGCAGTCAGGCCACCTAGCACGACTTTTTGTGTCTGTTTAGGCCACATAACCTAACCTCATCCTAACCCTAAACCATGTTGCCACTCTAAAATTCAGTGATTTTCTTGTGGGAACTAGCTTCTGGTCCCCACAAGAATGGCCAAGTCCCCACAGTGTGAGTAGGTTAACAGGTTTTGGCCCTCATGATGTAAGTAATACAAAGACACACACACACACACACACACACACACACACACACACACACACACACACGCCTATGAGCAATTTAGAGTCGCCAGTCAACCTATACTGTCTTTGGACTGTGGGAGGAAGCCGGAGTACCCAGAAAGAACCCACGCAGGCACAGGGAGAACATGCAAACTCAACACAGAAAGGCCCCGGGTCGGTCAGGGCTCAAACCTGGAACCTTTTTGCTGTGAGGCAAGAAGGTTAATGTGACTGGGGCTTGCAAAACCCCAAATCATCCATTTATTCTGATGAAATTTTGCCACAGAGCCTACCCGAAGATCAGATATCAGATACAAAAGGAGTGGACTAGACCCATATTACCCCTTTTACCTATCCCCGGAACAATGAGTTCTTTAATCCATACTGTATGGGAATGTTATGAAGTGTCAGAGTCTTGGTGCAGGGTGACTGACATCCTTTCACATTTAACTTGAACCGCCACCTTATTGTGGTGGAGGGGTTTGAGTACCCGAGTGATCCTAGGAGCTATGTTGTCGGGGGCTATATGTCCCTGGTAGGGTCTCCCAAGGCAAACAGGTCCTGGGTGACGGGTCAGACTAA